GGAGCTAATCAGGTGTGCTGTATGCAGATGTGCTGACAAGACACACGATAAGTGGAGAAAGCAGAGGGAACACAGATGCTTGAAGGAAAAAACTAATCTACTCCTTTTTTTTTCTTCTTGTGTAAGTAGTATTTAGTAGGGCTGGTAATGATTAAAATTTTCCTGTTCGATTGATCGAAATTTTTTTTAATCGATTAATTTTGATTAATTATAACGCACATACAGATCCAACTACATTGGCCTATACACATACAGCACAGCAATGAAGTAATAAAATGAACTAGGATCACACTAATCCAGCACGTTATTAATCTCACGTGCCGCCGCTTGAGTGGGGCAACTCGGAATAATAACCTGCTGGATTAGTGTGATCCTAGTTCATTTTATTACTTAATTGCTGTGCTGTATGTGTATAGGCCAATGCCTTGGCTGGCGCTCGTGCATAAAGTTTCTTGGGCAAACTCACCGGCCCAAGTGGCTCCGTCGGCTAACGAAGGGAAGGGGGAGGAGTCCGGTGACGTCACGGACTCCTCCCCTTCCCTTCGTTAGCCGTCACGGACATCGACGTCACCGAACTCCTCCCCCCTTCCCTTCGTTAGCCGACGGAGCCACTTGGGGAAGGGGGGAGGAGTCCGGTGACGTCACGTACATCGACCAACGGGCCTCCCGGAAGCCGGCGGAGAGGTGAGTGTTTGCATTGGCGATCAAAATAATTTTAGTTGATCAAAAAGTTTGATCAATTAAGATCGAGAAATTAATCTTTAATTCCCACAGCCCTAGTTTTTAGAATAGTTTAGTGTATTTCTTTTAGGACCCTTTCACATCATAAGGCAGTGAGCTGCAGCAGATACACGTTTCAAAATTAATGGGTCACAACACACCTCAATGCACAAAATACAAATAGTGCTGCCTAAATTTTTTTTGTGCGGCAGTCTGTAGCAGACTGTTTTGGGTGATATTCACAATAAATGGCGACACAATCCAAAACCGCTGGTAATGCGCATTACCACAACTCAAGTGATGTGAATCAGTGTTCTGTGTTTGTGTTTTATCTCTTCTGGTGTGTATTTGATCATCATTTGCGTTACTTTTCATTATTTTTTTCCGTGAGAAACGGTGAAAATAATGAGGCGAATGAAGGTCTGTTTTTGACGCAAGAACAGGCCCTGAAAAACTAAACGGAGCTTCTATAACCTTCAAGAACTATTGTACCCTTTAAACAAAATTTTGCCAAAATCCTTGACTTTCCACAACATTTCTGGAACGTGAAAGCTAATTTCACTCCTGCTAAGTTGTAGGAGATAGTTAGAGCTTTATTTTTGCCAGGCAATGAATGTAACTGCAAATCTACAATGTGTGACTGGGGAGGGGGGTCTTAGTATAGTAAAGCTGAACTTCAACTTTACCGTCAACTTGCAAAGTTGTACAGGCAAATTGCGTCTCTGCCTTCGGGCTAAGATCAAGTGTAGTATCTGTTCTTATTAGTATTCAGGAGGGAACATGTGCTGGTGCTCTGGCCCTATGACAGGAATGGCTTGCTGTAGAGTACCCGGCCTGGAATGATCGGGGGCCATAGGACCCCGCAAGTGAAAGGAGCCACCCTAAAACAGGAAATCGGACCAGTGCTCAGCGGACCAGCTAATTCTACAGGAAACTAAAAAACTTAAACATCAAGAAACAGCATCCATTGTAAGTAGGGATGCAGTGATTATCCATCCTCGTAATGGTATCGGTGCCGATACCGAGTATTTGGCCAAGTACTCGTACCTGGTGACAAGGGAGCATGGAGCCAGCTTCCTGGCCAATCAGGAAAATGGGCAGCATGTAATGACTTGCTGGTTGGCTTCCTGATAACGGAAGTTTGGGTATCGGGCTAGGCATTGGAGCATTTGGGCCAGCTTCTCGACTAATCAGGAAGCCAGGCGGTGAGTCATTACCCGTCCTACCCCCTCCGTCTTCCTGATTGGCCAGAAAGCTGGCTCCATGCTTCCCTGTCACCTGGTAACGAGGGAGCATGGAGACTGCTAATCGGGAAACCGGGTGGCGAGTCATTAATCCCATACATACACGCAATAATAGGTTGAACTCGATGGACCTGTGTCTTTATTGAACCTCAAATACTATGCAACTATGTAATTACACGCCACCTGGCTTCCTTGATGGGACTTTTGGGTATCGGTATCAGCGAGTACCCAAACAAAAATATCGATGCTCCTACTCTATTCCGAAAAACCGGTATTGGTGCATAGCTAATTTGTAAATTTCATCAGCATTTGAAATTGCTTAACTTGCTTAACTATTTGACTTTAATATGACTTTGAACTTCAGCTGTAAACAGACCTTGCATTATTCCTGCAAAGTCCATTTTTAACTCTAGTTGAGGAAAGCAGTGCATGAGATTTAACTTTTAGATGGGGATCCAATGAACAAGTGTTTTTTCACAGAAGGCCGTGTTATGTCTCTGGACCAGCACGGAGGTTACGCTATGCGTTCGGTTTAAATGCAAATGGCGCTCACCGCAATTCTTCTGTAACAAATGATCCAGTTACTCCTCTCTCTGTTTTGTGTGTCCGGTCTACGAGCGGCCCAGAATACATTTTACAGATGGTGCGGAACTAGGTGATGCATATGCATGAGGCGCATTGTCATTCAGACAGTGCCTCTCCTCTGTTTATGACAATCATCATGGATACTGTAGTTAACGATTCCGTACTGACAAAGAGAATGGCGCATGTTCTTTCTAAAAATAATTTCTGTTTGAACGTTGTTAATTAAATGCTTCCATGCTGCGCTGTTTATTAATCTTCTGGTACTTTGCCATTAAAAAAAAAAGAGTTCCCTTACCCTCCAAAGTATTTAACTCAAAGACTGGTGTGATCAACACTTACTAAATATGCAGATTTAAAATTTTGAAAGCATGTGCGCACATAGCAAAAAGAAAAGAAGAAAGCTGTCCCAATTAAAGTTTGAGCTTAACTTTGTTTTATGGAGTGATTGTTTGTTTAGTAGGGGAGGCTGGAGAGGAGGAGGAGGAATCGGATATGTTCCATTGTAGGTAGGAGAGGTGACTGCAGAGGGGTGTAAAAGAAGGGCCTCATACATCATTTTAGGGCCCCCTTGCTCTTTTTAAACTCTGTCCTAAACAGAACCTGTATCATCACGGAGCAATATCATTGCTTGTATGCTTGCATTGCATAGAGGTGCACAGAGATCCCGTGAAGATATCACTGGGTACGAAATAAAGTATATTGAAGCGGACTCGTAATGTTTATGGGGGCAAGAAAGGAAAAATAATATAATCAGATTAAACTTGAGCTTTTAAGAGCTCATTCAGACGGGCGTACACATTCGTACGGCGTGCACACTCCTAAAAAGGCCTGATCACAGAAGAGACGGGTGCTGCATGTAATTGTGTCCCAAGTACAGGCACCTGAACCCGCATGGATGTGCAGGTTCGGGTGTGTGTGTGACTGTGTGTAATTGCATACAGCCGTGTCCTCCCATAGGGAGCAACAGGCTGCTGCGCGCATTTACACGCAGCACTTGTCCCTTCCAGGATCAGGTCTTTTTATTAGCATGTTTATGGGGCAGGAAAGGAAGAACCGCGACAGCAAAATATAAGCAGATTCAACTTCAGCTTTAGGGACTCATTCAGACTGGCTTGCATGCCCGTAAAAAGACCCAATCCTGAAAGGGACAGGTGCTGTGTATAATGGTGTCCAAGTGTGGTCACCCTGGCCTGCACGGATGTGCAGGTTCTGGTGTGCGCCTGACTGTGTGATTGCTTACAGCTTAATTACAGATAGCACCTGTCTATTCCAGGATTGGGTCTTTTTAGGGTGTGCACTTCGTATGGATGCGCACGGCCACCCAAATAAGCCCTTAGAGTAACACAAAACGTACATTTTTTTTCCGCCTTATTATACTCGCCACATAGCGCTTTCCCTAAGCTCGCTTTTATATACATTTTCCAATTTGCAATCTTACTGGTTTTTTTTGGAAATGATCCCACGGACTTCAATGGCTCTATCATTTCCCTTAGACTTCCGGCCTCGATCCTGGAGAAGTGCACAATATTTCTGTCTGTGTGCACCGCTGTCCGTGACTACTCATCCCATAATGCAGCGTGTGCAGTGCTCCCAGTGCACACCCACCTTCATTGGGTTTCTGTGCTCCTCTGTGCAATGCGGGCAGATTATGGGTGGCATTAGGGTCAGGATGGTGCTGTAGATAACTTTCTGAAAACATCACAGCGTCACAATATTTATTGATTCAGTAGTTTGATTTAATACATCTCTGGATGTTACCAACTGATTTGCTTTTTTAGATTACAATATGTGCAGGGGATCTCTCCTTTTATGATAGGGGATTGAAGTGCCACATTCTGTTTTAGTAGTTTGGGTACATCTTTATTCAATGGTCTGCTCAAGTATTGGGACATCGGGAACCCCTCCTCCATTAGAGGCCCCTCATTGGGCTTGTTGCAAACCCAGTTTGCATGAGTTCGTCCAAGCCCACTCATAACTCTGACCACCACCCCGTCCTCCTAATCAATGGTGGAAGTTGCCCACCCCTTTTGTGACATAAAGCTGTGGGGTGGGGAATGCACCTCCCTGCAGCTGATTAGGTTGGGAGAAGGTGGTGGAGGTCAGAGTTATTAGCGGGCTTGGGTGAACTTAGACAGGGTTTTCACCATTCCCAGCCTCATCTCTATCCGCCACAGCAGGTGCACAACCCAAGACCTCAACCTCACCAATAGGATCCCTCTCCAGCATATCTGTTTTGCTTGGGCTGCCCCTTTAGAAATGTACTTATTTCTAATTTTTTAAACAGTTTTCAGCAACTCCGCTATAAAAATCCATCTTGTGCTAGATTATTCAATCAACGAGCAAATTGTGGATTTCGTTTGAATTGTACTCTCAGCAGAGTAGAAAGTTTTGCTTTTCTTAAAATTGCACAGGTGTTGCTTTTCCTAAGCAGTTTTCTTTCATTTCCTCCAGCTATTCATTGCAGTCGGAACTCCAATAATATCGACCACTCTGCCAGCGCGGACAACATCAACCTGAACCTCCAGGGGGAACACACTGACTCACCCTCCGCTAAGGACACTTCAAAAGTTCCGGAGCCCAAGGGGACACCCAAGAAAGTGCAGACGGAGACCGACGCACCCAAGGTAATAAGAAGCCGGAGCCCGAGAGTGATGTTAGAACAAATCATTTAATTAGAGAAGAGTATTTGTTCTGTAAACACGACAGGCTCCCATGATTAGAATGCAAAGCAGAGAGAGGAGTCCTGAGGTGAAAATAATTAGGGAAGAAAAATGGAATGCTGTAGAGAATCAGCCATGAGAATGCAGAATGAATGTCTAATCGCTGTTTATTCAGTGGAGCCTGCAGAAGTTAGTTTTATTGAATTCTTCTCAGTCATTGCGTGGTGGGGGCTGTATAGGTGACAATAGACAAGTCTTGGTCTACGTACAAAGTATAGAGAGCCCCAGACATCACTAAGAGGGTCACACACAATGTTCACTATGTATAATGCTAAAGAAAACTGTCAGAGGCTGCAGGCATACTACTGCAGATTGTTGGAGACTGGGGGCATTCTACAGGTGTGGTTGAAATCTGGGGACATGCTGCAGAAGATATATAAAGAGTAGGGACTTGCTACATGAGTCTGCTAGAGATCATTGTCATTACAGCCCTTTTACAAATCAACTCTTACACTACTGACTGCTCAGATTTGAAGGGCACATAACAAGAACCAAAGGGCCTCTGTCTGCAGGTTGGGCTCCAGGGCCATAGACACTGGAGTGCAGTTGGAAGTTGACAGGATCAGACCTACCCCAGGCACCAACACATTCCTAAACATGAACAGTTACATGAACAGGGGAGGCTGTCATGTTTAGGCCTTGAAGTACAGGAGGTTGCTGGAGACAGCCTCGGTCCCTGGCTTCTCCAGTGAAAAAAGAAGCGACTGTCAAGTCTTCCTAACCCGCCCAATTACTATTCTCAGCATTAATCCTCAGCCAGCAGTAAGCCTGTCATGAGATAATTTTTTAGAAGTGTTTATACATTTTTGTAATATTTTATTTTATTTTTTATTTTTTTTTAACATATGTTTGCTTCATTTGTTGGGAAACCTTCTGATACCACAACCTAAAAACCCAATTGCCATACTGTCTTCTGTGAAAGCAATCATATGTTATGGCATTCAATGGAATGTCTGTTTTTGAGTGTCTGCATTCACCATTTTTCTCTGGTTCATGAGAAAAATGCAAAGCTGCCATTGCTGACCTGTTTTTGCAATTGCTAGTTTTCTGGTGACCCACTGGTGTGTCAGTGTTTATTTTAATCACTAAGTAAGAACAACTATGGAGATTGAGACTGACCGTAATCCTTGTGTACATCCACTAGAAAAATGTGACCTTGTGGTTCAGAACTTGTTTGAAGTTAAACAGGTCCTTATTTGCTGTTCTATGTCAGTGTATGGGCACCTTAAAGTGAACCTTACCTGGCCTAATATCATTTTAATGTAACACACATTAATGCCACATTAAGAAGTCATCCTACAGGATGGTATAATTCTTATTTTTTAGTTTCAACATTTTTTTAATATTTTCCATATAATAAAGGCAGTTAGTGCGCACACTCAAACATTGAGTGCATGCACGCATAACGTTAATAACTTATTTTAATGGCTCCACCCCTATGGTCCTCCCAAAATAAGAAAAAGAAAAACATGTTCCTAAACTGACAAATGTAAGCAGAAGTAGGGTCAGTAGGTTGTGTTGGCCATACAAGACTTATTCACGTTGAAGGGAAGGTTACAAGAGTCTCTGCAGTTGAAGTCATGAAGCTGTTTGTACTGTACCTCTCCCAAGTCCAGTGCCTTCATGACATTAAAGGAGAGCTATGAGGCGAGTGAAAATCACTTAACCTCATAGTTCGAGCCGACGTGCAACAATGAAACTCGCACGTCGGTTCAATAGATCGGGAAGTGAGCGAACACATACCGTTGCTTGCTCATTTCTCGATCGTCTCCCTGCAGGGATTCCCCCCCCCCCCCCGTTCCTCCAGCGATGAGTGGAGAACCGGGCGGGGTGGGCGGGTACAGCTGGCTCTGCCTCTAGATAGGCAGAGTCAGCTGTCACTCACGCAGTTGGGTGGATCTCGACAGTAATGAACTGCTTACTTAGAAGTTTGAATCTATCTAGTGGTGGACTATTCCCTGCAGTTATTTACACAATTATAATTGTTGCACATTGAACTTTGTTTTTATTGCTCTGACATTTTTTCATGCTTTGATATGCTCTTATATAACTTATCATTATATTAGATATTTCACTTAATTGTATATATTTATTTAGCTCTGCGCATGATTTGTTCATGTTTTTTAGATATTTTTTATTTATCTTGAGTGCCTAGTAGCTCTTATTGCATTTATTTACTGGCGCTGATCACTTATTGTTTTTATATTTAGTAAAGTATTAATTAGGGATGCACCGATACCGGTGCCGTGTGCTCAAATTTATCAGGAAGCCGGGAGGCGGATCATGATCCGTCGCCCGGCTTCCTGATTGCCTGTGAAGGCGGTGTTCTAGTGAAAGAACACCGGCCTCGCATGCCTGAGGCTGCCTGGCTTCCTGACCAATAAGGAAGCCGGGTGGCGAGTCTTGAGGTGCCGTCCGGCTTCCTGATTGGTCAGGAAGCCAGGCTGCCTGGCAACAAGTGAAGACGGCTTCCTAGCCAATTAGGAAGCCGGGCGGCACGTCATGACCCGCCTCCCGGCTTCCTGTTTGGCTAGGAACCCGGCATCACTTGTTCCTATGTAGTCTAGCTTCCTGACTAATCAGGAAGCCGGGACGCGAGTCATAACGTGCTGCTCAGCTTCCTGGTTGCTTAGGAAGCCAGGCTGCTCACCAACAATTAAAACCGGCTTTCTAGCCAATCAGGAAGTCAGGGGGCACTTCATGATCCGCCTCCCGACTTCCTGATTGGCTAGGAAGCTGGCTTTACTTGTTCCTAGTCATCCTGGCTTTTTGACCAATTAGGAAGCCAGGAGGCGGGTCAGAACCCACCGCCTGCCTTCCTGATTGGAAAGGAAGCCGGCTCCATGCTTCCTCAGCACTTGCAGTCAGTGGGAGATCTCCCTCTGACCAGAAGTTCCGGTATTGGAGGCAAGTATCGGAGCATTTGGGTGAGTGCGAGTGCCCGCGCAAATACTCGGTATCTGCACCGATATAGATGCTAGTATTGGTTATCGGTGCATTCCAAATATTAATCTGCCCTTAAATGAGGGTATGCAAAGAATAAAAAGCCGGCAATGATCCAGAAGTATGTGTTTGTAGATTGTCATTACTAAACATTTCTAAAGGTGACTTTGTTGTCATTTTAAAGATCTGGGTAAAGGTCCTTTAAGCAGACTTTCGGATTTTAGCAAATCTGCAATGGTTGCTGGTTGGCATTAGCAGTTTACAGATTATTTTCACCCGCTGGCTGGAACTGCTCTCTGTTCTTTTTATTGGAAATCCTAAAAGGAGGTTAAAATTATCAGTCTGAGGTTAGTCAGGACATAAAAAAATCTATACATTTCATATATGAGCAGCAATACGTCAGTAAAGAGACCATCACATACAGTAAAATGCAAGAAGGCAGCAGAGAGGAAAAGCTTTACCTTTGCAATAAAGATGTCGGATTCATTTTTCTAATCTACGTCTGAATATTTTATACTCCTAATCATAATTAAAAACCAAACCTTATTTAAAAGTTTAATGCCGCCGTCTAGTTGCTTCCCTGAATCAGTCGATGATTACTAGAAATGGCGTGCTAAGAGAAGGCATTAGCAAGGAGGAATATCTACAGTTACCAGCAGGTCTTCCGTATTGTCCTACAGTAAGTGACGTTCAATAAGAGATACAAAGGTTTTTTGGCTGAGCCAAGCATCCATTAAGGGCTTTCCATGTTCAATACGTCTCAACCTCATCCCATTCAGACGGCACATCCCAAAAATATTGTATTCTTGAGACATTGAGTTAGATCAACAACATTTGTCTGCAGTACGCTGGCCTCAAAACAGCAAAACACTATGGTGGAATGTTAGTAAATAGTTGTAAAAATCCTGTTGTTTACAGAGGTCAGTAGCTCTAGCTGAAAGGATTCCCTTCCCGTAATGGGCATCATTCCCTCAGCAGAACATTGCTTGCTAGCAAGGAAACAGTGATGGATCAATATCTAACATGTCCTGCTAGCAAAGAACAAACAGCTTGGGAGAAGATAAGTGGTCACTTGGTAATCCTGGTGCTGCCGACTTGTTTTCAGTGATGGGATTGCTTGTTTGATATGGCCCCTTGTTCACACCAAATGCAGAGCAGATCCGCTCAGGTTTCTGCACACGCAGTGCAGTGGGTTGTTCCGCGTTTTTGCCGCGTTTTTGATGGGTTCCGGGCTGTTTTTGGTAAAAATGTTTGTTTTTTTTAGTTTAACATGGGCTTTCCAGGCATTTGCATGCGTTTTTGATGTGTTTGCATGCGTTCCAGAGCAGGTAAAATAGGGCCTGCTGCAGTTTTTTTTTACCTGCTCTGGAACTGAACGCTGCGATGTGAACTGGAGCAAAAAATACCATTGGAATACATTGGACGCAGTTTTGATCCGGTCTGCAACTGATCTGCTCTGCACCTGCTCCGCGCTTGGTGTGAACAAGACCTAAGGGCCCTTTCACACTGAAAAGGAGGAGATCCGTGCACTGATCCCCTGCTGATCGGAGCAGCATGGATCGGATTTCGCTGCTGTCACATCCGTGTCCGTCCAGTTTTTTTTCCCTCCATCTCCAAGCCAGCCAAACATCATGGAGCCATCTTTCCGGCTCCATCTTTCCTCGCGGCACTGCCAGTCAGAGGAAATCTTCCTCTGACCGGAAGTTCTAGTATCGGGAAAGGTATTGGAGCATTTGGGCGAGTATCGGTGCATCCCTAGTTCACACTGTAATTTGCTGCGGTAACACAGTACTTTATGCTTTACCGCAGCACACTGTAATGCAATGCAAGCTGCCGTGCACTTTATTATGTTAATAATATTATATGTTGGATGGAAAATATGTTGGATGTATATGATGGAAAAATCGCTCCCTTTTTTTTTTTTTTTTTACAGTTTTGGACATGTGTGGCAGCACAGTTGT